CTCCATTTTCCTTTCTTATTTTGCTAATTTGTGCTCTCTCTTTTTTCTTCTTTGTGAGTTTGGCCAGAGGTTTGTCGATTTTATTTACTTTTTCAAAAAAGCAGCTTTTGGGTTGATTGATTTTTTCTATGGTTTTTTAAATCTCTATTTTATTTATTTCCTCCCTGATCTTTATAGTTTCCTTCCTTTCGCTGCCTTTTGGGGTTTTTTGTTCGTCTTTTTCTAGTTCTTTTAGTTGGTGGGTTAAATTGTTTATTTGAGATTGTTCTTTTTTGAGGAAGGCCTGTATCGCTATAAAGTTCCCTCTTAGCACTACCTTTGCTGTGTCCCATAAATTTTGTGTGGCTGTGCTTTCATATTCATTTGTCTCAAGGTATTTTTAAATTTCAGCTTTGATTTCCTCATTGACCCATTGGTTTTTTAATAGCATATTGTTTAATCTCCATGTTTTCCTTTTTTTCTCCTTTGTTTCTCTGTTGTTGATTTCTAGTTTCATGGCATTGTGGTCAGTAAAGATGCTTGAAATAATTTCTATCTTCTTAAAATTGTTGAGGTTTCTTTTGTGCCCAATTACAAGATCAATCCTAGAAAATGTTCCATGTGCACTTGAAAAGAATGTATATCCTATTTTTGGGGGGTGTAATGCTCTGAAAATATCCACCAAATCTAATTCTTTTTAGTTTCTCTGTTGCCTTATTTATTTTCTGTCTGAAAGATCGGCCTAGTGATGTTAATGCGGTGTTAAAATCTCCAACTATGATTGTATTCCCATCAATATCCCCCTTTATCTCTGTTAGTAATTGTTTTATGTATTTAGGTGCTCCTATATTGGGTGCATATGTTATAATTTTATATAATGGTAAGTAAATAGATGCTATGAGGTAGCATTGGTATAAGATGGCTAATGGGAAAAGAGTGACTGGGAAAGAGAATCTACCTCTGGGGAGATAGGGAAAATCTTGCCTAAAGTTGAAAGATTTACACTGAGCAGTGAATGACAGAGAAGCTTCTATAAAAGAAATGTAAAAATTGCACTCCAGAAGAAAAAATATAAAATATCTATGGAGGAACACTTGTGTATTCGAGGAAGAGAATTAAGACTAAATTAGGGATCCCTTGTGTACTGTTGGTGAAAATATAATTGATGCAGCCATTATGGAAAACAGTATAGAGATTCTTCAAAAAATTTAAAACAGAACTACCATATGATCCAACAATTTATCTGGGCACTTATCTGAAGCAAACAAATATGCCAGCTGGAAAAAGATCTATGCACTCCCATGTCCAGTGCAAAATTATTTACAATAGCCAAGAAATACAAACAACCTAAGTATCCATTGATGGATGAGTGGATAAAGAAAATGTTATATATATAATTACATATACATATATACAAATGGAAAGTGGAATATTATTCAGCCACAAAAAGGGAAATTTTGTCATTTGCTACAACATGGATGAACCTTGAGGACATTATGCTAAGTGAAATAAGTCAGACAGAGATAGACATTTATTGTATGATCTCACTTATATGTGGAATCTTAAAAACAAACAAACTAATACAGAAAACAGACTGCTGGTTGCTAGAGGTGAGGAATGGTGTAGGCAAAATGGGTTGAGAGGGTAAAATGGAAAAAGTTACACTGATAAAACACATAAGTCATAAGGATGTAATGTATGGTGTGGTGAGTATAGTTAATTTTCTATTTCGGCAGCTGATAAGCGAGTAGATCTTAAAAGTTCTCCTCATAAGAAAGAGAAATTGTAACAATGTGAGGTGATGGATGTTAACTAGACTTACTGTGGTGATCATTTCACAATAAACACAAATATCAAATAATTATGCTGTACACCTGAAACTATATAATGTTTTATGTCAATTATGTATCAATTTAAAAAATAAAGAATCAAGACTAGGCTCCCTGGATCACAGAGAACACGTTAAAGACTGATGTGAAGTGGAGCAGATAAGGCAGGAGGGTAGGGGACCAGGTAGCATGTGGAAGAACTGTTAAGCCATGTGATTTCATTGTAAGTGTAACTGAAGGGGAACTGGTCAAATTTATGTTTCAGGAAGAACCTTTTGTCAACTGGATATACTGTTTGGGGGCAAGAGTCAAAGAAGGGAAACCATTTAGGAAGCTACTGCAGGAATCTGATTTTGCTCTACAGAAAATCTTACTGTCTACCTCGAAATTCAAATAAGCAACATAACAATAAGTTCAGTCTTATAAGATTTCCAACAATTGTGAAAAAAAAAACTTTGCTCTGCTGGCAACAAACATAATTGTTGTTTTTCTTGACATTATTTAACAGGCTCTTCTTTTTTCCAGACTATTCAGTTTGTAATATGAAACAACTGCTTTGAGTTGGTTGCTGCAACCTGAGGTCATTTTCCTATCACCTAACAGGTTAAAGGCTCTCACTTCCTTAGCAAAATACATGTTTTAAAAAAATTTAATATTAGTGAGGATTGAGACTTTATGAGATTATTTATTTAATTTTAATGATATTTAGTAAATATAACCTAGTACTAAGTTGACCTTTATCTGCCAATTCCATTCCCCAAAACCATCTCCTTACAGTTACATGTCCTATATACTTTGCAAAGGAAAAGCATAAAAACACCCTCTAAAAGAATAATGAATAACGTAAAAAACATACAATTTTAAAACTACAAGTAAAATTTCCCTTAAAAATTTTAGAAAGTATATCTGTCAACTCAGTGAGAGTTATTCTTTTTAAGGAAAAAAGTCAGAAATCTGGATTTTGTTGTTTATTAATTTCCCTCACATTTAAGTTTCTAGCAGTTTTCTACAACTGAAAAGTGACAGGATAATTTCCAAACCTAACTGAGGATTCTGCAGAGCAAATATTGCAGTATTGGTGCAGGAGATAAGAAAGGGGAGGGGGGAGGAGAAGAAAGAGAATAGTGGAGTGAGAGGAGGAGAGTTTCTAGGTAGCAGATCTAAAATTCTAAGCCAAGACACAAGGAATTCACAGCAAGTGCAATTTTATCAAGCTTAATAAATAAACGCTAACCTACCGTTTCGGCCGTTTTGTTTCAGGGTATTTGCAGAAAGCTGGATAGTGCTTCCATGGCCCATGTTCTCTGGAAACTTTAGGTCTTCTAAGTTTCCTTCTGTGCTCAGCCTTGCAACTTCCAATTCTGTTAATGGAAGAGAGATAATCAGTGCTCATTGAGAAACATGCCAAAGTTAAAATAATCTAATTAATGAAATATTTCTGAAATCTAAACACTGGAATTAATGTTCCATCTGCAATACTTTATAATAGTTCAGCCTTTTATTTAGAGGGTTTTTTTTAGTATTTTAATTTTTTTAAATAAAGGAAATAAAAGCTATTAAAATCAGGTAAATAAGAATATAAAAATAACAATTATAAAGCCTAGAATTTAAAACTCAAGCTCAAATCCTTATAGTTTGTCACTGACTGTAAGTTTACTTCCAAAATGTTATATTTATTTTATGAATTAAGTGAAAATCCTTTTATAATCTAGAGCTATACTATTATATCAATACTGATCTATCTTTAAATCTAATTAGTTTGAAATAGCTTTATAAAATCTTCTGAAATAAAACTGTCAGCTACATCCTTAGATACACTAAAAATAGATTTAGTCTTTATGAGCCAATAACACAATTACCAAAAATTGTTTTATCACCTTCACTTAAATGACTGAATTCTTTATAGTTTATAATTAAGAGACATTCTTATAATTGAAGTGACCCATGAGGATAAGATTTTGAATACTACTAAACATAAACATACATATATACACATAAAATACATATATACATTATAAACTAAAGAAAAAAATAAATAAATGGACCTTACTGTAAGTGACCTCAGGCTAATATATCCAATATTGGAAAATCTTAAGAAGGATACATACATGATTATGAGGATACTTCTAAGCCAATGACAGGTGATAGCCCCCTAATTATAGAAAAATAATAACCTATCTCTGCTGAAACAAAGTATCAGTGCATAATATCTGGCCCACCATAGATGACACTTTTTTCTTTTCCCTCTTCTGTTGTACAAGATGATACTTTTTTCTTGTACCTCTCTGGCCCTTCTGTATAACAAAGGCCACTTACGAATATTATCTGTGTTCTCCCTGACGATGTCAGTCTTCAAAAGGTTATCAGCCAGCACAAAAGCACTTTCTTCCACAGTGTCAAGCAACATGGTGGCTGCACGTAGTTGATCACTTGTAGTCAGGTCTCTCCACGCATTCGAGGCTTGTGGCTGGAGAAGGTTGTTAACTGTCTCGACCATTGCCTACAAGAGGATGAACAGAATGACAGAGGTCTCTAGTGAGCCCACAGAGCTGTCAGAAATCCAGGTGTACATGTTGCCCAGCAAGCAAGGATCAGCGGTGTGCATGAATTCAGTATTGTCCCAGCCTCCCCTGTGACATGCTGCAGTGGAAGCATTCATTATTTTGTTCTGTAAAACCCTAGCTGAGACTTTGCAAGGCAATGGAAAAACCTGCTTCTGTTTTGAAGGACAACAAATAGAGCGATGCTTGCTTCTTAAAATCAACAGCAAAGGCTTCAATAAGACTATAATCACATAATTAAATGATTTGGCTAGGGAACCGTTGGCAAGTAATTTAAACCAACAATTTTATCACATCACCACAAAAAATGATTTTTTTATACCTCAGCATAAAACTAGATGTTGAACACAGAAATCAAAAAGATGACTACAGACAGGATAATATAAGAATTTGTTGCTTATAGGTTGAGGACTCACTGAGCAAACCAATTTTTTTTAGCCAGCTAGTAAAATGTCAGAATGGGGAAAATATCAAGTTGGAACAACTACCTGTTGGAACTTGCTACCTGTGGCCCTCAGGTATTTTTCCTTAAAAAAAAAAATCAGCAGTAGGTACACTTACACGTAGGGATAAAACATCACATTTCTCCTTGCATCATTCAAAAGAATCATCTCTCTAGTTACAATGTATATATTTCCTGTGGTTAACTTGATGCTCTAGGTTACAGGAAAAGACAGCTCTTCCAATAGGGTCTTCTTAAGGTTTCACTCAAACATACAGAATTGCAAAACAAAAAAACACAATGCCTGCAGTTTGAAAGTGATCATCCTTGAACCTGTTGATTATGAAATACGCACCTAATCCAGAAATAAAATAGAAGAAACAGCCAACACAGGCACTTTCTAGGCAGCACACAGGTGTTTCAAAACAGGACTCACATTATTGACACGTTGGCAGAGGAGCTGGGAGAGCCATTACACTGCAGTGTTTTCTTCTGGCTGGTGTTTTCATAGTAACCAAGTAACAACTGTTAAAAATTCAGCTCCATAATGAAACACCTTGGCTGCCAATTAACACCAGCTTCAAAAACTAATTTGCCTTTTGATAAAAGCTGTTTTTCTTGATATTTTTCCCAGCTATTCCAAGTTCTGGCCAAAATTCAACATCACTGGACTTTTCTGTAAAATAGTCCTACTTGCAACTTGAGTACTTTGCATCATTTAAAAATAAATTCTTTCATGAGTTTAATGACTGGGCATTTTCACATAGGATGCTTAGCTCTGTCATTTGTTCTGGGTTTAAAGCATGACCTAGAAGCCAGACAAAAGCATTTCTGGATCACAACAATATAATCGGCTTTCCAGGAAGTTCTCCATAGGGGTAATGCCAACAGGATATGCCAAAAAAAGAAGTGCCAGATAGAAAAAGAAAGAAAGAAAAAACAGTTTAGGTATTTTCTAAAGTCAAACAGAGAACACAGACCTCTTGACTGCAAAGAACTGTTCTTTCTGGGATTAGATGATCCTCTGAATTCATTAGAAATGCTCTGAAAATCCCATATGCAACAGAAATTATGCCTGTTCTTTAAGGAGCAGCCTTTTAACATTAGTGAATAATCTTCCACTGATTAATTTAAATCTTACCTCTGGGAAAATTTATTGAGGATAATGCAATATTTCTGTTCTGCCCTTTATTGCTTTTAATTTCTTTAAAAATGCAAAAGGAGAAAAAAAGAAAAGAAAAAAGAGAAAGAAGTAACTATGGTCAACTCTGAGAATGTTGTCAATAGGAAGCTATGTACAACAGTCTGCTTTAGCTAAAATACAGTGTCATTAAGTTGACAGCACATAAATCAAATACACCAATTATTATCTTAGTTTTGCAACTGAAAATGTGTAAGATGCAATTTTTTTCATAGTTATACTTTTTAAGTACATTTTAACAACTACATCTTCCCAAATAAGACAGTCTTTGGAGAAGTTTTCTATTAAAGCCCAAATAGGGGTAGGGATAAATTAGGAGTTTGGGATTAACAGATACAAACTACTATATACAAAATAGATAAACGACAAAGTTGTATATCACAGAGAACTATATTCAGTATCATGTAATAAACTATAATGTAAAAACTATGAAAAAGAATATATATATGTACAACTGAATGTCTTTGCTGTACACCAGAAACTAAGACAACATTGCAAATCAACTATACTTAAAAAAAAAAAAAAGTCCAAATGATTTCCAAGTTAACTGCCGAAACCACAGACTTAAATTTTGGCCCTAAAACCTGGGTGGTTTAAGTCACAAATCTAATATTTATTTATTCTTAAAACAGCACCTGTTATGATTGCCTAAGTATAAATGAAAGGAGATGTCAACACAAGCAGTGAGAGACAGAATTCTCTAGGCTAAAATTAGTGTGGGGTTTGCAACTACATCTGCTGAGTTTGTAACTGGATTCTGCTGCTTTCCTAGTTGTGTGCTTTTGGGCAAGTTACTTCTTTGTATTCATCTGTAAATTGGAGATGATAATATAATCATTTCATAAGGTTGCTTGGCTCATAAGAAGTGCTTAAGGTGCAATCTTGTCTTTACTTTCACTGGATATTAAAGTCCAGTGTGGGAAGAAGAGAGGTCTTCATTGAATGGAGCACAAGTCATACCTGACAATTGCAAAATACTCACACTGAAGTGAGATCTGGAAAGAATAACTCTTCGGGAATGCAATCTTCATATACAGACCTGTTACATAACTAAACTACTATTGACGAATGAGAGAAACAGGTATTAAATAGTTCATAATGTGTTTTCTAGACGCTGGAACTAACCAGTTTTCTACTAGCAAGACAGCACAATTAGGTCAATCATAACAGCTTTAAAATTAATAGAATTTGTGTAAGCTTTCCAAAGATTGTTATGTCCCTGTTACCAGTTCAATGAAGGCCAATAAAATAGTCACAATTCTTCAATGGTAAAAGAATATCTATATTTCATTTTCGCTATACATGTATGACTATACATTTTACCTATAAATGATGACATGTGGTAATAAAGTTTTTTGGGTTTTTTTGGTCAAACTAGTTATTTGCATTTCTTTTGTTAGTTCAACAACATCTCTTTAAAAACAGGTTGATTTTCATTTCATTTGATTACAAAGAAATGTGCTTAACTATACTTAGAACCAAAGTTGACAGGAAATGTACAATGGATTAAAGTGAGGTACTGGGACATCATTTTAATGTCCAACAGCTCTCACTGATTTCTCTTTTCTGCTATAAATCCTTTTTCTGACCTAAAACTTATTTTCTAAAGTTGAAAGAAAATAAGATTGCTCCTGATTCATCTTAAAAAAAATTGTATTCTCACCACAATGCCTCAATCCAGGAAGGAAAACAAAAACAAAAACAAAACATCTAATGGTTTTAACATGTATAGACTGAAATAATCTAAAATTTTGAGAGTTAATTTAATCAACAATATCTTCACCAGAAACTAAATGTTAATTCGCTCCATTATCGTTTTTAAAATGCTAGAAACTTGAATAGGAGATGGGCCCTGGAAATTCACATTCTAGTTCTGCCACTAAATTTAAGTGTGCCTTTGGACAAACTGGCATTTTCAAACCAATCAAAAACAGTGAACTACAGAAGAAAATAAATTGCATCATGTTTCAATTCAAGGATAGTTAGGGACATTCTATTATTAGATATTACTCTTCTCATTTTACAGTTTACAATTTACAGACTAGATTCTAAAGTAACTTTCAACTTTCTAAAAATCAAATATAAGTTAGGAAGTGTGAAAAATCACATAGATTCATACCAGGATTAGGGACATACCATAACCTTCTGAACATATATTTGCATTACACAATATTATTGGACTTCTTATTGTTAAATTCAGATTTTAAGCATATTCATTCGACTAATTTTACTCAGAGCATATACTTGGACTATGTGTGTTCAAATATGTTATAAACTGTACAATCACACTTTGTATGTTTCAAAAGGGAAGAGTTAGTTATTTGTTAAAACTACTGTGAAAAATTTTGGAGAAAACCAGCTATATATCCTTCCAATAACAACTTCTGTCATTCTTCCAGGAGAATGTATTTATGAAATAGCTAGGATTCCTCAGCAAGAATACATAAATGGATCAATGGTGAGAAACATATCAATGGCACATCTCACCCAGGTGAGCAGTAAATCTTAAACTAAGTAAGCAGAATCACCGGGAATCTTTTTGGCAAGCTTTTTAACCAGGATCTCATTCCGGTTGTAGTTCAGGATCTACTGCTCAATCCATTATCAGCTTTTCCAGGGAGAAAATCCATTATCTGTTTTGTTCTCTTTGTATTAGCTATCATTATATAAAGTATCTCTCAGATATTTATTTACCTACATGACTATTACAGAGCTCTCACTCAAGAAAAGGTAAGCTTCATGAGGGTGATGACTCTGTCTCATTTGTAAGTGCCGAAAACTCTGCTTAGTGTTCAACAACTCTTTGCTGAATGATTGACATCCAGTGAAGATTCACACTTAAGTGAATTTTCTCCATTTTCACACCAGCAGAAAAAATTTTTTCTGGTTTTATAAGAGCAAAGATTATCTATGAAAAAAACTTATTAACCAGTCAACATTATCTAAATCATTACCATTTCAGAGATTCACTGTCACAATGGGCTCCCATTTTAGTACTTAGTTAATTTTAAGAGAGTTATCTGTATTTGGGTCTGGCTTTCTCACTAGATTATGATTTTCTCAGGGGAGAGATCATGCTCATTTTTGTTTTTCCAGGGTAAATTTTAGTGTCTTGAGACATTTTGGGTACTCAGTAAATGCTCATTAAGCAAAAATAACCTACTTTTACTATCAAATCATGAATACAATAGGGAACTGAAAACATCTTCTATACCTCAATAAAAAAAATTTAAAAAAATCTTTTAGTTCTATAACTTTTTGACTTATCTCCCAAGAAGTCTTCTGAGTGCTCAGAT